GATGGAAGGCTTAGATAGTCTTGGATGTAAGGAGATAACTTCCTAGCGTTTGGCAGCCTAGAGGAGGATGCGGTGGTTGGTGGAGTGGTATCTGGAGCTGCATGCACGATGTTCGGTGGTGCGAGAGCTGGAGTTACTGAATCAATTGATTGCGAGCCTAGGAAGAATGAAAGCTTAATTGCAGTGGGTTGGGGATTTGAGGAAGACAAAGAGGAAGATGAAGCGAGCTAAGGAAGTCAAAGAGAGGTAGATGCAGACGAAGACGAAGCAGACAAAGCTAAGAGCTCTTAGTGAAGGAGGTAGTCGAGGCCAATCCGGCATAATCCCATTAAACGTGATCCCTATACCTGCCAAACATTGGTGTCTAGTCCAGTGAACGTTAAGGAGCCCAAACAAACACACCCCGGTAGCTCTTGAGTTAGCTCAAAATTAAGCGAACGATGCGTTTATTTCAACCTGCCCTCCTCCTTGTCCTACATCCGGTGGCTACTCTTAAATTTCAGGTAGACTAGCCATGGATCCACTCCAACAACACCGACATTGTCCCTACTTGGCCACTTGCTTAATCCATCAGGTGTGGGGTTTTAATACAAAAGACATCGGTGTTAGTTAGAGTAGGGTAATTCTATATAAAGGGCTTATTCTCAAGCCATCTGGCCGATGTGGGACATAGGAATTCTAACACTTCCCTGCACGTGAGATCCCATTTTATGGGTCACACGTGAAGTTCCACATATCGACAACCACATGGAGCCAAGCTAAGGCTCACCCGTTTGCGCGGGGCCAGTGTGGACCCATCCGTTCACGTGGTATCTCTTGGTCTACGTGGAGCCAAGTTGGGGCTCACCCGTTTGCGTAGGGTCAATGGGAACCCATCCGTTCACGTGGATATACAGGGCCGTCCCCTGTCTTTGATACCATCTTAAATTTCAAGTAGACGGGCCATTGGCCCACTCCAACAACACCGATACTGTCCCCACTTAGCCACCTGCTCAATCTGTCAGGTGTGGGGTTTTAATATAAAAGACCACAGTGTTAGTGAGAGTGGAGTAATTCTATATAAAAGGCTTATTCTCAAGCCATCTGGTTGATGTGGGATAGAGGAATACTAACATCTTAAATTTCAGGTAGACAGGCCACGGGCCCACTCCAACAACACCGATACTGTCCTTAATTAGAGACCTGCTCAATCCTTCAGGTGTGGGGTTTTAATCCAAAGGTCTCAGTGATAGTTGGAGTTGGGTAATTCTATTTAAAGGGCTTGTTCTTAGGCTTTCTGGCCGATGTGTGATAGAGGAATTCTAACAGCTACCGATAATTATCTATCTTTTTCTTTTGTGAATAAACGAGTATATTAGAAAAGGAAGAAGAGACTAATTCCAATACAACAAGTCCAATTTCCAAGATTTCATGTATCATCTATGATGTGTACATAAGAGGTGGCTAATCATTTATGGCGTGTTTACATATGGGGAAAGGAAATGGCGGAATAGGAGTCATTCCCCATTCATGATCATTCTTCTGTTTACCAATTCAATCGGAATGCACAGTGTTGCGGGACCCATGTAAAATCAGGAGTTCAATTCCTAATATTGGCGGAATTGGATTACTTACACGGAGGTAGTATTTGGATTCCGGGAAGAAGGCTTCATCCGAAATCAAAATTTTCTTCCCAAAACACCCTTCACCTTCAGCACTCCCTTCCATCTTCTCATTGTCTTCCGCCATCCTCTCTAACAGCTATGTGCTCCTCCGCCGCCGCCTCTCTGCACCCCGTGCATTGCCGTGTCGAACTCTTTCGATTTGGGGCTCAGTTGCCGATTCTAATTCCAAAGACTACAAATTCAGACTCTCGTTAGAATTTATAGGGGATAAAGATTGCAATTGGGCATCCTTAAAACACTTGAAAGATCAACCATTCAACAACATATTAGCTTGAATCATTACGCATAACCGCATAGGGAAGGTCAGGGCAGAGCATAATCAAATCAACCAAAAATAAAAATTTACATAGAAGGCTTACGTTGAATCCTTGATGGTGAGGTAGGGAGGGAGAGCAAAGAATGGTCGAAATCTTAGGGAGGGTAGTCGCGGTCAAGCGTGAGTGAAAAGGTGAGGAAAAGGCGTTTTGTCAGCAGATCAGAGAATGAAGATGATTGATCAGATTGAATTTAAAAGGACTTAAAAAGCCTTTCTCACAGAAATTAAAAATAAAATAATTTTTTTTTGTTAAATATAAAAAAGATTAGCATATAATATAGATTATTTAGAATAAGGGCATTTTAGTAATGACATTAGTTTTCATTTCGATGCATGACAATTAGTAAACAACTTCTATGGACTCAGCATCAATTCAACGCCGTTTCCAGACAGTTTTAGTAAACAACTTCAATAGAAACCTGATTCTGATTCCACTTCATTTCAATTCCTCTTCAATCTAATTCCTCATCAATTCAATTCCTCTCAATTTGATTACAGATTAGTAAACGCGCCCCTAGTGTTGCCTAGCATTATATTGACTACTAGTAGTGCAGCAAACATGATGACTTACCAAGCAATTCCTATAAGATGGTTACTTTCCAATTCAAGGTAACAATCAGACATCTCAAATTTTTCGAATTCTGTCTAGACATATTAACTATGAGATGTAAATTCATCAAATTGATCAATTAATTGATTGATTTTAACATTTTTATGGGAAATAAGACTCGATGACTATGGTTTTTACAACTTTTGCAAATGTCTGCACTAACCTTAAAATCTCTGATGCTTGACCATTCTGTGTACAGATTTTATAATGCTGGAACAGGCACCAAGACTCCAACCACTAAGATGTGAGAGGTTTGGACGGCTTACTGCAACTACTAGTGAAAACACACGATTCAAGGTCATCTTCAGCCGTCTTTTGGAACACCAGGACAGCCTTGAACAATCATCGTTGTCACGACTTAAGAAAGAATACCAAATTCTGTTATTTCCTACCGGTCTTCTGCACAAACTGTTCCATCCCAGTCTACAAGCTTGTTGAAAGAGGACCAGAGTTGTATGTCATGGCTCAATAAACAAGCACACAACTCTGTCATCTATGTAAGCCTAGGAAACACAACATTCATAGACAGTAAAAACTAGCTGAAATGGCACGAGGTTTGGCCAACAATAAGCAGCCTTTCTTGTGGGTCGTTCGGATGACGAACAATTATTTGGAGCACTCACTTATCCTCAAGCGAGACGACCACGTCCTTTTTGGAGAATGCCGGCACACCTTCATAAGGATGTGGGCGTTTCGGGTCTCTCGTTGCCTTGAGCAAAGTAACGAACGTAAAATGCACACTTTTTCTCCTTCATTTTTAGTGTCTTAATACTATTCAACTCCAAGCATATTACTTGTCCCATGATAACCTTGCCCCCTAGCTTTGACAAGCTTAATCCATGGGTAGAAAAGAAATCATCAATAGCTGCCTTAAGTGAGTCAGCAGTATTACTAACGGCTTGTACAATGCATAAAAAAAGGCTTGATCATATGACCTTTATCCGCAAAACGTATTACAATAGCCAATTGCTTCATTGAAGACATGTTATGAAGCTCATCGATAAAAATGGAAAAGTGCAAACCACCATTATCATTAAAGACATGCTTTCCATTGAAAAAGCAGTTATGACCTCCTTCTGAGTATTGGGTGAAGTCAAATTCAGACTTAAGGGAGGATTTCTCAATGTGATAACTTTTAACTTCTCGTGGCGACCACATTGGAAATTCCAGAGTCCAAGAAAAACTCTTTCGTTGTTTGAACCTTCATGTTCATCGCCTCCACAAAATATAAGCCCTTGATGCAAAAGAAACCTCATACAAACAATTGATACATCCAAAAAAGTTTTACATTCCTTTGGTGCTTGGTGTTGCTTTAATAAAGCATCATAAGTTCTCCAAGCTTGGTTGAGGGCGCTATTCCGTCCTCCAACATGACCCTGCAACCTTTCCTTCTTCCAATTCGAAAACCCTTTACTAACAAAGCAATCACCGCTAGCTTGCTGTCCCATATTTAGCTTAAACAGATAACAACATAAACAATACGAAGCATCTTTTGCTATACTATCTTCCAACCAAGTCGGAAACTCATAAACCAAGCAGATATAAACCTTATTGGTCCCTCACTGGTATTCTTGTGGGGGAAGTCATGGTCTCGAGTCTGAAAATGACACTTTTGAATATATGCTTTTCGAACTTGCTCTCGAACTCGAACATTTGGATGCTAATCCCAAATTCAAGTGTGCAACCCGGGATCAACAACAAGATCTTCCAAGTTGATTTCGACGCAAGCTTGTTTCGAGCTTTTGTCGTTCTCCTTCCAATACGATGATGACTCCATTGACTCATCAAATGATTTTCTTTTCAAATACCGCCTCTCTACTTCAAAATTTTGGGTCTTTTAGCAAATATATCATACGAACCAAAAATTCTTCAAAATCCCAATAATTATTCCAGTATCATCCAACACGTAGAAATACTACAAAAATCTTCCTATACCACTGCAAGGGTACACATAAAAATTCATTAAATTAGATTTACAGAGGAAAAAGTAAAATAAAAAATAAAAAACCAGGGCTTTTGACATCTGGTGAGATGCAAAGAGCCAAAGTGAAGAGAAATTACTTCAGATATCACTGGGCGTGCATATGAGTGAGAAAGGGCAACATTTTAGAGTGGCTAACCATTTTCGAGTTAGCCACTTTCAAGCCGTTTTTCGGCCAAACCACGGCGAGTTAGCCATCGAAAAAGGTAACATTCTCTTCATCTCGTCGAAAAGTATGATTTTCGTTTTTGAATCACTCAATTCGTTGAGTATTGAAGAAGTTATGAACGTTTAAAGTTTACCCAGTTTTCAGTGAGTTTTCCAGTTTTCCTGCGGACCAGTCTCCTTTCAGGCTATTTTCTGACCATATCCAGCAACTATTGGGCTATTTTCTCGTAGTACGCATCAATACAAACTTGTGAGCTTAACCATTAGAATTAAAATAAGAATTCCACGGAATTACAAAGTTTTAAGGATAGTATGATAATTTTGTATTACCATGGTTGATTGATTACCTTATGCTGTCCGTTTACCCTTATTTTTCATTTCTATTATAAATTTCTTTATTTCTTGTCCTTTTCTTTTCTTTTTGTCTCTCTTCCCTCCCTCCCGCATCCTCTCTCCCTCTTCTCTTAGCGAGCCGACGACTGCCGACGCAACATCTCCGTCGTTCACCGGTCACCAACGCCTGTCAAACTACACATCCAGAATGCTCTTGCCGTCCTTTATCCAATCCCCAAGTTAATTTCTATAAATTCATAGGCGATTTTCCTCAATTTCTAATTTAATAAACGGTGACCCAGGGTTTTCCATCCAACTTCCGGCCAATATCGCCGGAATTGGACCTCGACCCAAGAGGTAGAAATGATCCTCTTCTCGTGGGCTGTTCTCCAATGTAAGTTCTTTTTCCAAATTTTCAACTTTCAGTTTTGGGATTGATTCTTGATTTCGAATTTTATTCGATTTTCTGTAAGAATGTCGGAGATGAGACTTATGGTGATTGTTGTATCTGTGAATTTGTTGAAGTCCCTAACGATTACGTTCCCGGTTGATAGTTGAAGCATGTCTATAGCATGATGTGGGATTGAACTCTGTAGAACCTTGTATTATTATTAATAGGCAATGAATGAACTCTTTTGCATAGGAATTATAAAATTCATGGAAAGAATGTGAAAATGTGGTAGGAAATTAGAAAATGGGGGCCAAAATCATGTTATGATGAAGGCAATAGCTTAGCCTGATTCCTTGTTTATTGTAGTTGTATTCAGCAGCTTACTTTGGTTTTGAATTGCCTGCTGTCCAGTAGATGTTTGATCGATTCTTGATTTCAAATTTTTATTCGATTTGTGGTAATTGTTCTATCTGTGATATTGTTGAATCCCCTAGATTGAACTCTTTTGCATAGGTATTATAAAATTCATGGAAAGAATGTAAAAATGTGGTAGGAAATTAGAAAATGGGGGCCAAAATCATGTTGCGATGAAGGCAGTTGCGTAGCCTGGTTCCTTGTTTATTCTGTTGTATACAGCAGCTAACTTTGGTTTGAATTGCCTTCTGTTCAGTACATGTTTAAGACTGGATGTGGATGAAATTTTGTTGCCGCTTTATGCATGCGTGTGTGGGTAATTGAGATTCGACTTTCCTAGTTAGTCTTGTGCTTTTTGCTGTTGATAAGGTCCTGAGGTGTATGGGTGTATGGGTGTGTTGGAGATTCCTTGTTTGTTTATAATGCTTGTAGTTTGAGTGATTGCAAGTTTGAGTAGTGTAAAGTTTTTCTTGTTTAATCATATTCATTTATTTTTACATAAGCATTTCTCATTTCTTGGCTCGAATCGGGTTGATTTCAGTAGTTTGCTTTGGTTTTGTCCAGAACCTGTGTTTTGTTTGGGGTAAACGTGCTACAGAATACATATCTTCAGTGAACGTTGCTTGAGGTGTGAGTGGACAAATTATCTCTTGAAGGTGCTTCAACTTACCTTTTTGGTAGACAAGGCTCCTCAAGGTAGAGCTAGCCAGAGGTGTGAGTTGACATTTATTTCAGAATTTTTTTCTTTGTCAAATATTAAGCATGCATAGATAAATATGATTTCCGTTATGGTTTTTATTCTCACACCTTCAGTTAATCTCTTAATTAACTTTCAATCTAAAACTTGTCAAAGTACAGAATAAAAATAAGTTTGTACCCGTTCATATAATTTATTATACATGCATAAAATAAGCAACATAAGTAGTATTTTTGGAAAGAAAGTCCGGTGCAACAAATGACATTTTATTGGTTTGTACATATGAGATAGTAAAAGAATTGTTGAAGCCACAACCTTCTTTGAATTGTTGTCCTGCATGCATCGGAGAATATTAGAAATCACTGAAATTCAAATAAGTTGAAATGGTTATGCTTATTGTATATGTGTTTCCGAAAATAGCATCTTAAGGACTAAATTCATTTTTTAAGTACTAAACTTGTATATATATATATTCTATAAAACGTGGTAGAATGATTTTTTGAGTACCATATAGATAATTTTCATCAGTTTTTACTAAACCTAGAAGAAGTTGAAGATGGAGACATGTTAACCTTTGTGCTTGATCAATTAATTGTGTTTGTCCTCCCTGTCGATTTCATCGTCTTCACCCGTCCTGTGTTAGGAATAAAAGACAAATGTTTTCTTGAGATATAATTGAGTTTTCAAAAGAAGAAAAACATATCTAAATATACTTTAGTGTGCACATACGCACATTACATGTATACATATATGTGTGTGTGTGTATAGTTTGACAAAATTTTGTCATACTAAATCTGAACTGTTGATTATGCTTTGCATAAATTTGTAGTCGAAATTTTTGTGGTGTTTGCCATTATGTTTTAGCTCGAAACCAGAACCTACTTATTGGTTGAATAACTAGAAATTTAAGATTAAGCATAATATGCTATCTTTCAGTCCTTCATAAAAACATTAGGAATCCCACTCATACGTCAAGAATTAAAAGACAGCTGTTTTCTTGAGATATAATCGAGTTAAAAAATAGTGTATTTAAATACGCACACATAAGTGACTGAAAATTAGAAACCTTAAATTAAAGCATACCTTAGAGTGGCATTGAGGTCCCCCATCCATTTAGCCACTCCCAACGCGGTGCGTACTTGCAATCGAGGATGTGTGTCAACATGCTTAGGAGCAAATAGCCTTAAGCTTTGGACCTTCACAACCTCCAATAACTCCAAAGACGGCAATTTCAAAGTATAAGCTTCACCACAAAAATACTTGAGTTTTGACAGACTTCCAAGCTTGATGGACTTCACTTAAGGTAATGTAATTATTTCACAAGAAGTTTGACTATGGACGATGAAAACAAGTATTTCAACTGGTTGCAATAATAGACCCGCAGCGACTTCAAGTTTCCGAAGCTGCTTCCTGTCAACATCGGTTGTGAACTGCCCGTCTCCCAAACACGCGTTAAACTTGGCAGCTTCTGTAACTCGAAGGACCTCAATTTATTGAATGCTTCAACGGAGTGACTACTTTCTTCATGCTTCGGTCCCTTTAGTTGGAAAATCACTTCCATTGAATTACAGTCACTTACAGTAAGATTCCACGGAACTATAAAGTTTAAGGATAGTATGATAATTTTGTATTACCACGGAAAATCACTTCCATTGAATTACAGTCACTTACAGTAAGATTCCACGGAACTATAAATGAAGATTTCACGGAACTATAAAGTTTAAGGATAGTATGATAATTTTGTATTACCATGGCAGATTACCTTATGCTGCCAGATTACCTTTATTTTTCATTTCTATTTCAAATTATTTTATTTCTTTCCTTTTTATTTAGATGTGTATTAAAAGTGGCAAAAAATTAATGTATTCCTTTTTATTTGTAATTTGTAAGTGAGAGATTTTATGTTCAATTATTATTAAAGACGAATTTAAACTATGTTACTTCTAGTCATTATTATCATCAAAACGTGTTCCGTCCTATCTCACGTACCAAACGCAGTTTTAGTGATAAATAATAGAGTTTATTCCATAAAATAAATGTATAAAAGAATTAAGATAAAAAAGTAGGAGAAACCATTTTCTCTCCTCCTCCGGTATCCTTTCTCCTCTTTTGCGCTACAACAGAAGCCCCATTAAACAGCAAGCCGACGACTGCCGAGTGCCGACACAAAAGTTCTGTCGTCCACGGGTCACCAAAAGCTCTCAAACTACACATCCAGAATGCTCTTGCCGTCCTTTATCCAATCCCCAAGTTAGTTTCTATAAATTCATAGGCGATTTTCCTCAATTTCTAATTTAAGAAACGGTGACCAAAACCGGCCAACTTCCGGTCAATATCACCGGAATTGGACCTCGACCCAAGAGGTAGAAATGATCCTCTTCTCGTGGGCTGTTCTCCAATGTAAGTTCTTTTTCCAAATTTTCAACTTTCAGTTTTGGGATTGATTCTTGATTTCGAATTTTATTCGATTTTGTGTGTGAATGTCGGAGATGAGACTTATGTTAATTATTGTATCTGTGAAGTTGTTGAAACCCCTAACGATTACGTTCTCGGTTGAAGCATGTCTATAACATGGTGTAGGCTTGAACTCTGTAGAACCTTGTATTGTTGTGAATAGGAATTATAAAATTATAAAATTATAAAATTCATAGGAATTTTATAATTCATTGGAACACTTTTGCATAGGAATTATAAAATTCATGGAAAGAATGTGAAAATGTGGTACGGAATTAGAAAATGGGGGCCGAAATCATGTTATGATGAAGGCAATAGCTTAGCCCGATTCCTTTTTTACTGTAGATGTCCAGTAGATGTTTAAGACTTAATGTGGAGGAAATTCTCTCTTGAAGTTGCTTGAACTTACATTAGTGTATCATAATATTATTTAGCTTACATGTGTATGATCAATATTACATGTGTCATTCTACAAACATGTCATTCATCTTTTACGTGTATGGTATTACAGAACTTTTAGCATTATAAATTGAAATGCAAATATTGGTAGCTAGAGACAACTTTTCCAAATTATCATAACAAATAAGCAAACACCAATTTAGAAACAAACAGTAATAATCACAGTCGAAATTTATAATACATAAAATAAGCAACATAAATAGTATTTTTGGAATGAAATTCTGGTGCAACAAATGACCTTTTATTGACTTGTACATATGATATGGTAAACGAATTGCTGAAGCCACAACGTTCTGTAAACTCTTGTCCTGCATGCATTGGAGAATATTAGAAATCACTGAAGTTGGAATAAGTTGAAATGGTAATGCTTATTGTACATGTGTTTCAGAAAATAGCGGTTTAAGGACAAAATTAATTTTCAAGTCACTTAGCACTACAGTTATGTTTATTGTATATGTGTTTCTCAAAACGGTTATGCTTGTTGTACATCAGGTGAGACATGCTAACTGAAAAGGGTTATTCCAATATTATTGTGGAATCTGATAAAGGTTTCTTGAGGCAGTTGCTGATCCGAAAAGCTTCTTCCATCTTAACTGCTATTGGGTGTAGGACTTTTATTGGAAGAAAGGATAAAAGAAAGGAAGTAATATTTGATTAAGGATATAAGAAAGGAAGTAATATTTGATTATTCCGGATTACTTATGGTTAAGTATAGCAATAATTTTTGGGAATATCAATCCTATTAGTTCATGGATTTTAGAGGTGCTAAAGATCTGTATTAGGGTTTTCTTTATGGGCGAGAAACCTAATACTCTCACCTATAAATATAAGGCTTAGGTCCCACTTTTATACACATTATTCTAGCACAAAACACTACCCCATATAGGAGTGCATAAGGCGTGTAGAGAGAGATGAAGATCTTTGCTTGTTCGTTGCTGATCATGGTTCAATCTTGTTCATATCAATGGCTTCTCAAGGTTAGTACTTGCATATCATAGATCGACTTGCATTGGGTACCTCAAAAAAATCAATTAGGTAGCAGAATGTGGTTTGACGATCCTTATTATTCAATTTTTTAAGTACTATCCATGTATGTATATATTCTATAAAACATGGTAGAATAATTTTTTGACTACTTTATAGATAATTTCATCAGTTTTTACTAAACCTAAAAGAAGTTGGAGATGGAAACATGCTAACCTTTGTTCTTGATCAATCAATTGTGTTAGACGTTTTCATCCACCACATAGATTCGTCATCTTCATTTTCATCGTCACTGTACAATTTGTCATCGTTATCCTTCATGTTTTAGAAATAAAAGACATGTTTTCTTGAGATAGTATTGAGTTTTAAAAAATAAAATTACTTAAATACACTTTAGTGTGAACATATGCACATTTATATGGTATTTGACTAAATTTTGAGAAATCTTTTGTCAAACTAAATATGAACTGTTGATTATGCTTTCCCTAAATTTGTAGTAAAAATTTTGGTGGTGTTTGCCATATTATGCTTGTAGCTCAAAACCAGAACGTATATGTTGGTTGAATAAATAGAAACTTAAGATTGAGCATATATAGCTCACTGACTGTAAATTATCAACCTAGCTATTCTTCAGTCCTTCGTAAAAACATTAAGGATCGAAAGAGTTGGAACAAACAACTTGAAGCATTACTGTTTAGGAGAAAATCTTTGTTGGTTTAGTGGTTGTATATTGATGATGCGGTCTTCCAGGTGGACACAAAAGTGATTGCAAATTAGAAACATTAATCTAAAGCATACCTTGTCCATTCCTGTCGAAATGCGGGGTTTACTTGCAATCGGGGATTATGCGTGTCAACAAGCTTAGAATCAAATGGCCTTAAGTCTTGCACATTAATAACCTTCAATAACTCCAAAGACGGCAACTTCAAAGTATAAGCTTCACCACAAAAATACTTGAGTTTTGGCAGATTTCCAAGCTCGATGGACTTCACTTTAGGTAATGTAATTATTTCCCCTGCTTCTTCTTCTGCCGCAACGATTTCTTCCATCTGCTCACACTTCCCAACTTTTATGTCCTCTACACTCGCAAGAAGTTTGACTATGGACGAAGAAAACAAGTATTTCAACTGGTTGCAACTATAGACCCGCAGCAATTTCAAGTTTCCGAAACTGCTTCCTGTGAACATTGGTTGTGAACTACCTGTCTCCCAAACACACATTAAACTTGGCAACCTAACTAACCCCAAGTACCTCAATTTTTTGAATGCTTCAACGGAGTGACTACTTTCTACATGCTCCGGTCCCTTGAGTTGGAAAATCACTTCCATTGAATTACAGTCAATTACAGAAAGATTTTCAAGATTATCATCATCATTTGAGTCCTCAAGATTAGTTGGTGTAACCTAGAAAATTAAACATGATCAACAAGAAGATACAATACTAATTAAAAGTTGTAATTATAGAGGTTAATTGAACCTGATTTAAAAGCTTACCTCCTGATTAATTGGACGTGGCAATATTTCAATGGGGCGTTGGGCGTTTGCTCTTGAATACGGTGCGCATCCACATCCAGCAGGGCACCAATTTGATGAACGTGTTGGAGGAGTGCTGAAATCATGACTTGTTGAATCCTTCTCGGACTTATTCTCCAACTTCTTTCTTTGTGGAATTACAGCACCCAATGTCTTCAATTTTTCACATCCGTGCACGTGCATATTTTTTGTGGATGACCATTGAAATGTAGATCCCGCTGGACAAAGACTCGTGAGACGAGGCAGGTCTACTAGTTCAAATCTGTTCAGTTTCCTCGGATACAAAATCATGTCTTTTGTCGCCTCTTCTTCATTTTCCTCTGTGATTCTGACTATAGTTTCCATGTCCCGACATCCACCTATCTTTACCTCTTCAAGATTCAAAAGTTCCGAGGCAATTAAATGCGAGAACACATATTCTAGACCAGAACATTCACTCACATACAAATATCTCAAATTTTGGAAGCCCTGGAATCCAGACGGAATGTTTTTCCACAAGTGTGTAAACGAACATCCGTATATCTTCAACTTACGTAACTGGGGACATGTTGGAGCTGTCTGCCCATCCATAACTATATGGATTTTCAGATCAAATAGCACGCCTTCAAACTCAATAGCTTGCAATTCTACCTCTTCTAAACTTGGAAACCATGAAATGCACTTTGATGGAAATATTGCTTTTTCAAATATTCCTACAGATTGATGCTCAACCCTTGCCGTTGTTTCCTGAAAAAAAAAAAATCATTATCAGTTAAAGAAAAATTAAGCACCAACTTAAGCATTTTGTAACAATTTCAAATTTCCACATATCGGCTGCCTCCTGATATCATAGAGATTGGAGAGTGGGACATACCTCTTGGTTGGAGTATAGCTTGTTGGCTTGGAAGAAACCAACCAAACTCTGTAGATACGAGAGACTCAATTTGGTTACTTTATTGAAATATATTATATCAGCTTCCTTCTCATGTTCCCTCCCCTGCTTCGACACAATTTCTTCCATTTGATCACAGTCACCAATATCTAATTCCTCGAGTTGTACCAAGTTTCTCGCTGCTGATAGTGAAAAGGCATATTTTAAGACATCACAATTGAACAATCGAAGGAATCTTAGGTTGGTCAAAAAGCTATTCGGAAGTTGACTAGCTGATTGTATGTGAGGAAATGGTGTCTGCTGGGTCACACTTGTTCCATTTGCAAGATACTCAGTATTTGGACAATGCTCAAGAGTCAAATATTTCAAATCTTGAAATCCCTCTTGGTCTAAATCAGTAAGGACAGAGAAATTCTTAACTTTGCACAAAAACAAATCTTCAGATTTTTTCAACAAGAGCCTAACTGCTTGACTCTCCAACTCCCTTGCATCACCTTCATCAATAATTAGTGAGTTTCTGAATGCATAAGTTGTCATCTCCGAAAACATCTCCGAAAGCATCTTGGTACTTCCAATAGCGAATTTTATTGTTGGGCTTTTCAAGACTACGTCTTTTGGCAACAAGTGGATGAAATTGGGGGGTAATTCTATGGATAGAACCTTCAAATGATGAGACAGAGACATCACCTCAGAAATGCTTGCCATCCTCTTATCTTCTCTTCCTGTTCCAAGGTCCCATTTATCAAAGCTACCCATCATATACAACTCTTCAAGTCTACATAAGCTGGAGAAGATACCATGTGGAATCACCTCAAGTTTCCAACAGTTTGTCGTATCTAACAACCTTAACTGTTTAAGTCGTCCAATTTCCCTCGGCAACTCACGCATGGAAGCACAATCACGAAAGCTGAGGATTTCTAAATTCTCCAAACCCCCAATAACATCAGTAGACATGCCATCAAAGTCAGACCCATCTAGGATCAAGGTCCGCAGGTTCTTCAGTACTCCTGGTGATCTTGATGAGCCTAGGTCTTCCATTTCCATTCCCACCAAAGCTAAAACCTTCAGTTCTTTCATCGCCTTACAAATGATGTCCATGCTACCTTTTGAAAAACGTCCATTCATCGTCTGTAGAAGCTCAAGTTTTGGGCAACCAACTGGAATCTCCAGATCGCCAACCAGTGAGATTGTGTCATATGTAGCTAAATTTGGCCACTCTTTATTTTCAGCATGACTTCTTACCAGAAATCGATGTGGATCTCTTGAAGCAATCGATATGGCAACATCGCGAACTATGTCATGCATTTTTGTAGTCTCACTCATGCCACCATCTAGTAACAAAAACCTTCTTTTTAGTTGGTCAACCAAAGAATGCACTCTATTTCTTGCATCTTCCAAAGTAACGATGCTGCTAAAATATCCTCGACCCCACCCATATCGAACCAAATACTCAATTGGAATATCATAATCTTCTGGAAATAAACAACAAAGTAAAAGACATGACCTGGCTTCATCACTCTCCAATCTATCATAACTCCATTTTATGCTAGAATAAACTTTGTCATTCACTCCAGGGATGTTCACTGGGGTAGAATTTCGCAGCTGATTAAGGGCATCATCCCATTCACGCTTGTTTTTCTTTTCTAGGGCTTTTCCAACAGTTACAATTGCAATAGGTAAACCTCCACATTCCTTCACGACATCTTTTGCAATGGAACGTAAATCAGGATCATGGAATGATTCACCTACCATTTCTCGAAAGAGCTCCTGTGATTCTTCTGTTGTTAAAGTCGGGACTGCAATAATTGGTTGACTTCCCATCCTGTTGCAGACTTCCCAATCTCGTGATGTCAACAAAACTTTGCACCCTTTATGAGCATCTGCAGAAGGGAGTCCAATAGCCTCAAAATCAGGCTCTGTCCAGACATCATCTAATACAATCAGGATCCTTTTTATTTCCATGAGCCTTCCATGTAGCTTTAGTGCTCTTCCGGGCTCGGATTCCTCCTCAAATTTCAAACCTATTTTGTCCGCAATTTCCGACTGGATCGTCCTAATACTTGGACTTTGAGACACAGTTGCCATTACACTTTTATCAAACAAGTCTAGTTTTGCCAATCTTACGATGATTTCTTTCACCATTGTGGTTTTACCCACACCCCCCATTCCACAAATCCCGATCATTCGTACTTCTTCCCTCTTCAAACCCTCCATCACCTCATTCATGTTTGCCATTCTGGACTTAAAATCCTGAAAACCTTTCTTGAATGTTGACCATATCTCTGGTGGAGGTGCAGGATGGGCAACATTTTCAAATCTTCCTTCGTTTTGGAGCTGATGAACATGTTTTGTAATCTTATAGGCTCTCCGACTCAAGCTCCATCGATACACACATCGCCTTTTCTTGCTAATTTCCTCCTCAAACTGCAACACTTTTTTGACCAGGTCGTCGTTCACATTCTTTAGCCAACTCTGAACATCAGGTTTGATGATTTCACCGTTCCTTTTGGCAGCATCCACCAATCGCTGCACTCCATCTCTCTTGTCAAAAAGCTTTTTTATCTCACCCCTAAGACTTTCAAGGTTGGAACGGTAATGAATCAAATAGCCAAACTCTGTTCCTATTGGTGTGACCAAGCATTCTCCAATTTTTGAGGCAATTGCAATTATAATTTCCATTTCCTTCTGAAATCAAAGACTATGGCTGGAGTGATCCTCTTTGCTGGTGTCTTTTGTATGTCTCGCGCTCAGTTCTCTAATGCCTAAACCAAAGAAGCACCCCAACACAACATTAATAATCATATATTTTTGTCCTGTTTAAATCTAAGTTGTATTTTATTTTTATTTTTATTTTATTAAAGGAGCAGCTGAGATTCGAATTTAGAACCTCTTTCACTACTTAAAAAAATTTCATACTTGACGAACAATTAGCTAGTATCGTTCGAAACGAGTTACAAAGATTTATAAAAGAAATATCCAGGACATGCATAGACTTATGTGACTAATGAACTATTACATGTATGTTTACTTCAGTTATTTAGTACCATATTATTATAGAAGTATTAAATATTGTGCGAGATTGCGTACTTTAGCGTGATATATCGCATCGCGAAAACTGTTTTGCAAGATATCCTATAATATCATGATATCCCAATATTTTAAGATATCATGATATGATAAGTAATTTGATATATCGTAGCGTTATTTTAACTTTTATTTCTTTATACTTTTTTTGTTCTATTGTTTTTTCAATTCTCATGGCGTTACCGTAGACCTCACACCTCCTCAGGATTTTTTAGCAGCCCTCATTGTTCGTTTCAAATTTCAAGCCTACTTCCTCCATCGCCCACTGTTTTTGACAATATAGGCTCAGTTAGAATTAAACGCCTAAAATTTAAGGGTTTTTTTTATTTTTTATTTTTTAATCAAACATTTGTGCCTTTTAGGATTTTTTTTTTTTTTTTTTTTTTTAGGAATCTTTTGATATAGGCGCCTCGGTTTTGAATTTTCTAGATCAAACATCTATGTCTTTTAGTGATTTGATTAAACTTTTTTTGTATTGTAACAAATTTCCTATAATCTAACATTTTGATTACACTCTCCTCCATTAGAGATAATTGTCAAAAAAAAAAATGGTTAGATTCAAAATTATTTTCACAATAATGCTACAATTTAGCAATAATTATTTATGATTTGAGATATTTTTTTTCCAAAATAGTTTAAAATATTTATAAATCCTCCAAAATCAAACGTACCGAAATAAGTTTTTCTTTTAGTATGTTAAGAGAAAATAGGCTTGAGAATAATATAAAAGTACCAATACACAGTGTGTACAAAATAAAACGTACCAAAATAAAAATAATGTACCAATATTAACAATATGTATCAAATCAAACGTACCAAAATTGCAAATAAACGTACCAATTAATAATTTTTGTAAATTGAAACGTACTTGCAAATAATATATATGTAATGTATTGTACATAATAATAATTCGTCAACAACTATACTAAAAAAATATATATATATATATATAATTTCACAAAAAATTTGAAAAAATTACTTTTATATTGATCACCAACTATTTGAAAACGAAAAAAAAAAAACCATCTACAAAAATAAATAATATTAAATGTTTGCATAACAAAAAAAAAAAAAAAAGTGATTGAAAAAACATATTTGGAAGAAGAGAAAATATAGTTTAATTAATAATATCTCCACTAAATAAGGAAAAGTGCATCATGCAGAAAAAATGATAAATTCAAAAATTATTTTAATTTTAAAAAATAGGGGTGACTATTGGTCAAAGTACTTTAATCAAATTTTAAAAAGGCACAAATGTTTAATCTAGGATAATGCTATTCACACACCCCATTTTATCTCTCACGCACCCTTGTTAAATTTTTGTTCATTGATCTTCTTCAATTCATTCTATCCAACGGCCCGAAATTGAGAAGGGTGTGTGAGAGGTAAAAATGGGTGTGTAGATAGCACCACCCTTAATCTAAATAATATAGAAAAACTGTAGAGAATTCTAATTTTCCCTTCTTTTTTTTGGGTATCAAGTATCTGTGCCTTGTAGGATTTTGATTAAAGCACTTACGTGCATTAGACCGCATCATGCATCTCTCCATTTATCAAATTAAAAATTATTATTGTGATCTTCAAAATTAAAATTTTGTATATTGGTTTGTTAATTTGGGCTTCAATTAGTTAAGCGATTTTTTTTTTCTTGAGATAATCTTGGTTTTTTATTCAAAATATTTATCCAATTATCTCTTTTTTATAATTTTTCCGCACAAAATATTTTTCTCCTAAACTTTAAATATAATTTTACCTTCAAGATAACAAAAATAGTGGATGTTTATATTTTTTTTTTAAATTATTCTGTATACATTTTATTGAGAGAACTATTTTGCATACATTATTGGTAGGTTTATTATTGGTTTTCATACTTAATTTTGTTCATATTATCTACTGGTATGTGTAGTTTTAATTTTTGGAACATTTAGGTGTGTACATATCATTGATTGTTATGTTTAGTTTTAGTATTTGGTACAATTTATTTTAGTTGATGGTACGTTTGATTTTAGTTTTTGGTACGCTTAATTTAATTTTTGGTACATATCATTGATGGATAACTTAATAATTATGTCTCTTTATTTTGGAGTAATAATAATAATAATAATAATAATAATAATTTTGGTTTAAAGAAGGCTAGATTTAGGAGCTTTGGGTGTTGTTTCTGGAATAAATTGGTGGATTAATGATAGTTCATGTAATTTTGAATTTTTTAAAAAAGGACATTTTAATAAACGTGCCACCAAAATTGTAGAAAGTAGTTTAATAAAAAGTCTAAAAGCTAGGAATGCTGGGTCTATCAAATTCAAAAATCAACTACCTAGATCAAAATTATCTTTTAAAATAAGATCATCACTGTGTAAAATATTTAAATTTGTATTTGTTTATTGTGTTTCTGAACTTGAATTATTTGAAATTGTTGTTGATACATAGGATTCTTTATAAATAGACTCCTGTAATTCTATTTTTTAAACAAAAATCCACCTATATTTAAATATCAAATTGAAACACACCTTTTCTGATTGAAAGTAGCAAGCAACTCCAGTACTGGTACAGAGGCCAGGTGGAAGGTTGTTTTGTCCCGTTGTCCTTTACTTGCTTAGTGGCTTCTGTTTGAGGGCATTTGAAATTGTCTGTTTCGGTATTAACTCTTGTAAACGGAATCTAAATCCATTGACAGGTAGACAAAGAAAATAACCTCTTATTACAAACTATTTACATCCAATGCCAAAACATCTTAATTATATCAACAAACTTTACTAATACCTACAGTAATGATGAAATCCTAAATTTCATCTAGTTTCTTTCCTTATTTTGGCAAGCATTTTAGTTGTATAGGATACAATATACATATATATATATATATTCTCCTTTTTATTATTATATAATGATAATCTTCGTAAAAATAAAATCCAGGTTAACAAAATAAAACTACACATGTAGTGGGTAGTTTTTTCTTTTAATTTTTAAAAATAAAAATATAAAAAATATTTAAACAAAAATAATAATAAAATTACAAATAAAAATAACATCTAAAAGTGCAAATTGCCAAACGCGCTAGCGTGTGGTAAAAGGATAGTATCTATATATGTGAAATATAGGTAAATTAAACCTTGAACCAAATCAGGTTCTTTATCTTCAAGTAGATACTTTAATCTAAGTAAAATAATTTACCTATATCTACCTGTGAAATATAGGTAAACTAAATTACATCCTTTCTGTTCAAGGTAAATGGTTTTGCATTTATTATTACATACATTAAGCGCATTTTAGTTTTATTATACATTCAAGAAGGTGCTCAAATGCCTAAAACCAAAGAAGCAATGCCCCAACACAGCATTCACAATCAGATATTTTTGTCCTGTTTAAATCTAAGTTGTATTTTATTTTCATTCTTATTTTATCAAAGGAGGAGTTAGGATAGTATAAACTTATGTGGCAAATGAACTATTACATGTATTTTTACTTCAATTCTTTAGTATTATATTATTACAAAAGTATTCAATATTGAGTGAGATTGCGTGATATATATATATATATATATATATATATATTGTATAATATTACAATGTCCCCAATATTGTATGATACTTACATGATATGATAAGCAACGTGATATATCGAGGTTTTTTTAGTTTTTTAATTTCTTCATGTTTTTTATTTTATTGTTTTTTCATTCATCCTCATCCCGTTATCATAGGCCCCACAACTCCTCCAGGTTTTTTTTTTCAATTTTTTTCCAGCAGCCCTCATGGTTCGTTTCAGATTTCAAGCCTCCTTTCTCCATCACCCATTGTTTTTGACAGTTTTTCAGCCCAGCGAGATAACTTATCAAATTTTATTTTTTTTCAATTTTTTCTCTGTCTTTATCTTTTGTTTGAGTTTTGTGTTGATCTTTGTTAGTTTTCCTCTATAACTCATACCTTAGGGCTTAAGCGTCACTTAGCTCAAACCCGTAAAGATATGAAGCCTTGCTACAAAGTCCCACCGGTTGCTTAGCATTTGAATATAACTTAATTAGATTTAAACGCTTAAAATTTAAAGATTTTATTTTTTATTTTTTATTTTATTTTTTTTATATAACATATGTGCCTTTTAGGATTTTGATCAAAGAACTTATGTACATTAGGTCACATCAATATTTCTCTATTTATCAAATTAAAAATTATTACTGTAATTTTTGAAATTAAAATTTCATATCTCTTTTTTTTTTCTTTTCTTTTTGAACAAACGATATTATTTATACTAAAGGGAGAGGAGAGAGTGAGCTTAGTTTCACAATAGGCTAGCAATAATGTGATTCAAATTCACCTTTGGTGAGAATTGAACCTAAGACTTCTCACTTACAAGTGAAGAGGAATGTCACTGGACTGTAATACTAAGTGGCAAATTTCATATCTCTTAATTTGTACTTCAATTAGTTGAGCCATTTTTTAGGAGATAATCTTGGTTTTTCGTTCAAAATATTTATCAAATTATCTCTTTGTTATAATTTGTTCATAAAAAATATTTTTTTTTCTCCTAAAATTAAAATATAATTTTAACTTCAAGATAACGAAAATGGTGGATAATTAAAATTTTAAATTATTATGTCTACATTTTATTGAGAGAATTATTTTGTATACATTATTGATACATTTATTATTTGTTTTCATACTTGATTTTGTTCATATTATCGATTGGTACGTTTAGTTTTAATTTTTGGTACGTTTAGTTTTGTATATATCGTTGATTGGCACGTTTAGTTTTAGTGTTGGTACGTTTAATTCTAGTTTACGGTATATTTGATTTTAGTTTTGGTACATTTAATTTTAGTTTTTTTGGTACATATCATTGATTGATAACTTAATAATATGTCTCTTTGTTTTGGATTTGGTTTATAGATGGCTAGATTTAGGAGCTTTAAATATTATTTTTTGAATAAATTGGTGGATTAATGGCACTTCATGTAATTTTGAATTTTGGAAAGAGGACATTTTAGAAAAAGTGGCACCAAAATTGTAGAAAGTAGTTTAATAAAAAGTCTAAATGCTAGGGATGTTGCACCTGGTTCAAAATTCCCCGTACTTGTATAATAGCTATATATGTGAAATAATTGTAAATTAAATCTTGAACCAAATCACATTTTTTATCTTTAAGTAGGTACTTTAATCTACATAAAATAATTTACCTATACCCATATGTGAAATAGGTAAAATAAATCTTGAACCAAATCACATCCTTTATATTGTAGATAATTATTTTGCATTTATTATTACATACATTACGCACATTTTATTGTTATTATATATATATATATATATATGTAGTAAAATAATTTACCTATATTTATATAGATTATATGTAAGATCCCACATTACCCAGGGGAGTGATCCTTATATGTATATTCTCATCTCTACCTTGCACGAGGCCTTTTGGGAGCTCACTGGCTTCGGGTTCCGTAGGAACTCCGAAGTTAAGCGAGAAGGAGGCTAGAGCAATCCCATGATGGGTGACCCCACTGGGAAGTTGCTCGTGAATTCCCAAAAACAAAACCGTGAGGGAATGGTAAGCCCAAAGCGGACAATATCGTGCTATGGTAGTGGAACGGGCCCGGGAAGTGGTCCCTCCCGGGCCGGGATGTGACATTATAATTAAATAATTTTGAAAAAAAAAATTACATTCTTATATTTTGTTGGTAACTAATGCTCACATATTTTGAAAACGGAAAAACTAAACCACAAAAAATCCTAATTTATGCAAATTTGAAAAGCAACTAAGGAATTTAAAAAGGAAAAAAAAAAAACAAATGAAAACCCTAGCATCATTTCCTTTTATTATTAATATGCAATGAAATCATGATATTAACATTTGTTTTTAATCTGTCGTAAGGGTATTTTAGGCATCTAAAAGTACAAAACTGTGTGAAGTCAAACCTAATCAATAAAATTGTTGAGCTGGAGCCTAGTTATAGTGTTGGAGCTCAGTTGAAATACAATATTCGGCAGGCACTAGAATGTAAAACTCACACTTTTGTTTTTTTTGATCAGGCAAGGTAAAAACAGACGCCTAAAACAACAAATATTGGAAAGAAATAGAGTTTTTAAGAAGTACATACGTACCTGTATCGTGAATCAACGCAATGCAACTGTGCAGCAGAGTAAAAGTAAAATTATGAAATATATGCCTTTGTTCAGCAACAAATCATAAGTCTGGTACTGGTAGTGGTGCTTCACGAATTTGCTAGAAAATTTGAATGTTGAATGCTAGCATGCACAAGGAGGGCAGATTATGCACATCAATGCAAATATATGAGGAAGAGTTAATAAGAGCTTTCTAACAATATAGGCAGGAGAAGCAATAAAATATATATGTTAAGTCATTGAGTTTTTGTTAAGAAAATATACTATGATGAGTTTTAGTTAAAGAAAATTGAATTTTAAGGTTGTAAAGTCATATATGATGGTTTCAGTGCATGTGTATATTTATTTACTCATTATTATTTTATAGTATGCAAATTTTAAATAATTTACCTTTCACCACCACATAGCAAACGCGATTTCAAACTTTTTGTATTGCGATGAGAAAATTAAATATTTGATTATAAGGGGGAGTTAGCTCAATTTCAGTTGACGTCGATGGACATCAAAACACAATAACATATAGTGACAAACACCTAAACAACAAATATTCAAAAGAAATGGAGTTTCAAAGAAGCACATACATACCTGTATTGTAAATTAACCCAATGCAACTGTCTGGTAGAGAAAAAAATGAAATTCTGAAATCTATGCCTTGTTCAACAACAATATGTACTGGAACCTGGTGCTTCACGGATTTGCTAGAAATATAATGTAAAACCATCATTTTTGTTTCTTGGTCACACGGGTAAAAATGAACACTTAACACAACAAATATTGAAAAGAAAGAGTTTCCAAGATGCATATATATATATATATATATGTATGTATGTACCTGTATTGTAAATCAATCCAATGCAACTGTCCGACATAATAAAAGTTCTGAAATCTATGCTTTATTCAGTAACAACTCATGTGTCTGGTACTCGCATTGGTACTCACGAATTTCCTAGAAAATATGAATATTGAATGGTATCAAGAAGGACAGATTATGTTACCTCAGCAATGCAAATATATGAGCAGATAACTTGAATGGGGAAGGGTTAATAAGAAGAGTTTTCCAACAATATAAATAGAGAAACAAAAAAAAAAAAATATTTAACGAGCATTACCTCAAGAGGAGGTGATTCTAAAGTAAGGTATTTTTATTCTCTTTTAACACGAAAAGGACAAAGTGAGAGAATGGGATGCTTTGCTTCCGAACCCATTTTGGAATAAAAAAGTGAAAAAGATTTGGATGCTTTGCTCACGAACCATTTGGTATTCTCTTTAACAAGAAAAAGGATAAAGTGAAAGAAAATTGGATGCATTGCTTCCCAACCCCAAATTCTCAAGGGACAATACATGGCTTGAGCCATCCTCTTCGTGGGGTCACATTATTTCATAGTACAAATGTCACAATTAGAATTGGTAATCTATCTCGAATAATATTAGGCTTACTATTAGTCATGACATATAAATTTTGTACGAATTCGTTTGAAAATGTTTTTAAAATTACTAAAAGTATTTTTTATGAAAAGTATTTTTTATTTATTTATTCCTATTACAATAAATGGAATTGAACAATGAACCAGCCTAATCCTAGTAACCCATTTTCCAACAAGGTATCATAAGCTATCAGAATGTCCACCTGCAAGGCACATCTAGGAAGACCATTATTTCTATGGTAATTTTTCAGAAACTCCTTCAAAAGCATAATATCGTCTCCAATTCGCCTGCCAGCGAAGAAAGCAAATTAAGAGTTGCTCACGATAGAGGGAAGGACATCCTTGATCCGATTGGCAAGAAGCTTAGCGATAATATTGTAAATAGCATAAAGAGGAATTTGTAACAATAATCCCTCAACTTTAATTGAATTGGAATAATAGTTCCTTAACTAAAAATATGTGATCATTGGTCACTTAACTCATCAAAATGTACAGCTGTGATCATTTTCGTCCACTTTGTCAGAACTTACGTCAAAATAAGACACTGGTCATGCACGTGAGGCTGAATCAAAAGGTAAATAAGAAAAATCAAATGAGAAAATTGTTGCAATGGTCCCTCAACTCTAACCCGATTGGAGCAATGACCCCTCAATTTTAATCCAATTAGAGCAATGGTTCTTCAACATTAACCTAATTGTTACAATGGTCATTTAACTATGACTGATTTTGAAGGAAGTTCTGACGGAGTAGACGAAAAAAACCATAGTTGTACATTGAGGGACCATTGTTACAATTTTGTTGACAAAATGGGGCCAAGGGTTATAGAAGGTAGCGGTAACAAGCAAAAACTATGGTCTTTTCTTTCTGCAGTGAAGAACAATTACTCATAAGTTGTTTGCATAAATGGTCTCTTCTTTTCTGTATGTCGGTACTCTTTAAGGCTATGTAAGATGTAATTCATCTGTTTGAACTTCTTTTATTGAATATTCCATACCCTTGACCAAAAAAAAAAAAAAAGTTTCTAAGAAATATGAGTAAGGAAATATATATATATATATATATATATTTTTTTTTTTTTTTCAAACGATAGATTTTGTTAGATTAGCCATCAACAGAATTCGAACTCACATGATCATGCAATGACAACTTCTTTCACTTGTGAAATTATGCGCTATCCCTCTGTTAATAGCATGGACGTACCTTTACATGTGAGTTAAAAATTGCATTTCTTTCCTTTATTCTGTTCATCGTCCCTTTTCACCCTCCCTCTCTACAACTATTTTCCACCGCCAAAGGAAAATCCCAAACTAACAAATCTCAAGGCCATTTCTTTCAAATCTCAATTCAATTGTACGCCATGGGTCTTGCCTAGCTATGGGCAACGGTTATAGCGGATGGGTAACCGCAGTTATTACCCATAACCGTTTAAACTTTTACCCGCATAACCGGTTACCTATTGGGTATTTATATAAACGGATAAACCCATACCAATAACCATACCCATTTACCCATAATCGCGTACCTGTTTACTTTTGTTTATCCGTCTACCTATTTTTTTTAACAACTTAAAAATTAAAAATAAATTTGTCATAATTTTCTTTTTTCTAACTATTAAATACCGTTATAAGTACATTTAACATGTATTTTTATATTAACAGCAATATTATTTATGAATATACATTTAACATGTATTTTTATATTAAGGCAAGACTCTTGCCTTTGCTGCCTAGAAATCCATTTTCCAGTTTTAGAAGCTTGGTTAAAACTTTTCATTCAAACTGATCCAATCAGAGCTTTAAAATCTAAAGCCTCACAAAATTGTTTCGCGGATGGAGAGTGAGACAGAGGAGAGAGAGAAGACGGAATGGAGGTATAGAGAGACGAAGAGGGACAAGTGAGAAAAGGGCTTGGCATGGCATTGCGTGAAAAAATATAGGGTAAAATGACTAGTAATAGAAAAATAACATAACTTTTATATTTGAATATGAAACCTAAAGAACTTTACTAAAAAGTTTAAATCCAAATTTTCACAACAAAAGCTGTCTTCTAATTATTCTATCACTTGAAAATTTTATTATTTTAAAGCACGTACGTAAATCAAAACTAGTATCCACTTAACTACGCACAAGTCATTATTTTAAAAACAATTACACAAAATCACTCTCTTTTTTGGAGAAAAACTTGTGTGGGGCTTGACATGCTACTAGACAATGCTGAGTGGTAGTCCCATACCATTCATAACTTGCCATGTGTTAAATATTGTTGCATTAGTATAATTTCTTATTTTTATTTTATATCATAATTCAAAATTTAATTAATAATATATATATATATATATATATGGAAAAGTAAATTGTTAGAAGGCTTGAACTTCAAGGACGCCACAATCACACGGTAAGAGAGGAATGCAGATTCGGGTGAAGTGCAGCTACGAAAAGGATTGTCGGGAATGGGCGATGGTGGAATTGCAAGGGGCGGTGGAAATTCACCACAATTTCAAGACCACCTCCTTTTGCAGCACCTGCCCTGGAAAACTGAAGCAGTTTCAACTCTTCCAAGAGTGATGGAATCGAAACAAATGTATTCGAATTTTGAATAATCGAATCTGTTTATGTATGTGACTCATTGCAAACAAACATTAGCTTTCTCATGATTCGCATAAAAAATAATCACAAGCTTATCTCTCTCTCACAGCCTTGCATGGCTGCTGGGAAATTGTGCAGATTTTAGGTAATTACTGGTTCAAAAGTTTATTAATCCATCAAAGCTAGAATAAGTTTCTGACTAACCTCATTATTTCAATTCAATAAAAAAAAAAAAAAAACTTCTCATTATTTCAATGTATTATCAAATTATTATTAAGGAAGGGCATATAAATTCTGGAGAAGAACCCAATTCTCAAAGCCAACTTTGTCCACCAGTAGTTTGTCGTTTCCAATTTTCAAATATTAATAGACTATAGATGTAAAATTGAACGAGTTATAAGTAATAATTAGAGAGAGTTGAGAGATGGGAGATGAGAGACTTAATAAAGGGAGAGCTTGAAGAGCAAGGAAGAATTGACGGTGTTGTAGATCACCGGTACCGACGAGAGAAAAGAGGAGGGTTCGCAGATGGAGGTAGATTTAACTGGGATTGTGAATTTTGTTTTTACCATTTCAGTTTTTTAAGAAATAATGATTTAAGTTTTTAATTTTATTTTCATATAAAACTAAAAATAAGAAATCATATTTAAGTTTAACACATGGCAATTTATGAGTGGCGTGTAGTGCCGCTTAACATCATCTAGTGGCATGTCAAGCCCCACACAAGTTTTTCTTCTCTTTTTGGCACTCCATTTCATAATGTTATTTCCTAAGTAGACAACATTTCACTATTAATTAACCTCGATTTCAATGGCTTTGACGTCAGGCTTCTTCACCTCCGCCTTTTGTACGGTCACACTCAAAACTCCATTCTCCATGGCAGCCTTAATATGATCAACCGTTACATTCTTCGGCAGCTGAAACCTTCCCAAGAACTTGTCGCTGCTCTTCTCCACTATGTGCCACTTGTCATTTTTGTCGTCCTTCTTCATGTTCCTCTCTCTGTTGATCCGAAGCACCATGTTGTCTTCACCTCATCCTTCTTCAGCCCCAGAATGTCCGTCTTGAACACGTGGGCTTCCAGGGTCTCCTTCCAGTCGACCCTAGTGTTCATAAAAGCCGAATTTTCTCGAGAAAATTCAGGAAATGCGGAGAGTGATGAGGAGGAAGGGGATGGGAAATCCTTGAAAGGGTCCCAAAGGTTGAGGCAAAACGGGTCGAAGATGCTACTGCCTCGTCGAGAGTTGGGGATGAGAGACATTTTGGAAAAAACTTGATGCGGTTTTGTTTGGATGCGGAGAAAAGTCCTGGGAATCGAAATTAGAGCCGGTAGAGAGAGTTCTCACTTTGCTTCACTGGTTGGTGAAGGAAGTGGGTTAGTGGCATATTTATAAGGAGTCAAAGACGTTTCTAGAAAATTCCAGGTACTGGAAAACTAAAAAAGGGCATGAAACCAAGCAGCACAAGGAAGACGAAACAGAAGTTGCTAGAAACTTCCTGAATGAAAAAAATTGACTTCAACAAAAAAAAAAAAAATGTTGGTATAGAAGAGAGGAAAGAATTCCACTAAACTAGCTTTATTGCACGTGCATGTGTGTGGAGGTTTTTTTTTTTTTTTTTTGGTCAAAACAATTAGGTATGAGATTGATTCTTCCAATCTTATGGTGCACAATAAAAAGCTTCGCTTCAATCTTATGGGGTATAGAACATCTACTGGTTGGGGCTTTGTGGAGGATCTTTCTTTTTAGGCTGAAATGTTTTTATGTATTTTTAGTATATTTCATGTATTATTTTGTACACATCACATTACTTGTTTTTATTTTTTTTTATTTTTATTTTTTTATGAACAAACTATCATCTACACTAGAGGTGGGCTAGCTAGCAATAATGTGGTTCGAATTCGCCTTTGACGAGAATCGAACCTAAGAACTCTTATTTACAAATGAAGAGGAATTCCACTAGACTAGAGTACTAAAAGACCATCATATTACATAAGTGTTGGTACGTAATTAGTTTGTTTGGGCTCTAACTCCTCCT